ATACTTTAAAGTTGCGCTAATCATTAATTTTGGTGTTGCAATATTATCTGTATAACAGATAATTAAATATGTTTTAAGTTTTTTTTGTATTTTGCTTCAGTCTGACCAACCCTAATCAGCCTCGTTTAAAGCTGCAGATGGCAGTTGTTTTTATCAGAAATTCTCTGATGAACTCACTGTACCTGCCCAGCACAACACAGAAAACAGACCAAATTAGTAAATGGGTGGCAGTTGGAAAAAAAAAAGGATTCCCTCAGGAACTGATGGAGAACATTGCCAGACAGCACAATAAACCACACATGCAGAAAACAAAATCATTTTTCAGCATCCACATGTCTGCTGTCCATCGTTGCGCTCTTCCCCATCACTTCTTCTAGCTGACAGTTAGTTGCAGTCAAAGGAGCTTGCAAAGAAAAGCGTCTGGACTTCTTTAAGTTGCTTGAAGACGTTTCACCTCTCATCCGAGAAGCTTCTTCAGTTCTAAGGTCAAATGGCCAAGAGTCCCAGATTTAAACCCAGTGGGAGTATCCCCCCAAAGAGGGACAAAAGGACCCCCTGATGATCCTCTAATCACCTGAGCCAAGGCGTGAAAGCGGGTGTGGGTCCCAATCAACCAGGGTTTCGGGTGAGCTCATTGTGAAACCTGGCCCCACCTTGTCATGCGAATTCCTGAGGTCAGATGGCCCAGGATGTGAGTGGGCGTTAAGGCGTCTGGGGAGGGAACTCAAAACTGGATTTTAGATGCGTCTCCATCTTACTCTCTCCCCCTCATGGATTCTTGGCACACTTGCAGTCCTCTGAGAGCAGTAATTATTTATCTGCATCATAAGCAGACACACATCAGCACTTAAAACAGGCAAGAATGCACACATACATGACACATATAAGTAATGAAATTTTCATGGTCTCTATCTTTTTTACACTCTCCTCTTAAAGATCAGACTTCCTCCTGGGAGAGAGGTTAAAAGGAAAGAAAGCAGAGAGAATAAAAAGAGCGTGTGGAGAGAGAAAAAAAGGAGAAAATAAAAGATAAAGCAAAGGTGGTGCTTATAAAAGACAGGAGTTGGAGGAGCATGACAGATGGACTCCACCTACCTTAATTAAACACACACACGCAACCATGCCTGAATAGTCTGGCCTTTTAAATGACAGCTCTCTTGAAATTGCGCTGAATATTAATCATCACATGCTGAATGTGTAATTTTAGGAGATAATACCACTTGAAACTCCAATTTAGTTTTTAATTAGAAAACTGATCATTCAATCTGTGACATTTAAGTCTGTGCGAGTGTGATTATAAGTCTCTTAATATTATTATGCGTGTGTGAAGAACAGGTGTAGATTAGAAAACGTGCCTAAGCGAAGCTTCTGTATGTCTTTTCCTATGTCATCGTGTCAGAAATCCACTCATGTGGGAGTGGATTTGTGGTTTAGAGCACGGCCTTTTATGGTGCATAATTGATCATTGTGTGACTGTGCTTCATGCTGTGTCATTAGCATCCACATAATGGCTGACATCTACACACTATGCACTAACTTTTTTGGAAAACTTGTATTTTGTTTTTCCAAACTTTCAGCCACAATCATTAGACCTTACCCAGCAGATGAAGCTCCATTTTTCATATGGAGTCCATTTCTGTTCATTCATGTCAGCTGATTAATTCTCTCTGGTCCCATATGATGGTAGTGACCAGCTATGTTGCATGGTTTGCTACCATAGTACTAAGAAAAATACAGGAGGCTGACCCAGAGGGGGCAGAATCAAAGATTTCTAGGGATAAGGTGGGACAAGAAAGCAGATGATTGGCTGTGGCGACCTCTAAAATGAGTAGCTGAAAGAAATAATGCTAAAAAAAAAGTGTGAAGTGGGAAGCGCTGGCGCTCGGTCTTTCATTATTTATTAAGTTAAATGAAACATAAAATATGTTTAGTGCACAGCAAATGACAGCATGTATCACCATAGAGATGCTCTGATCATATTTCTGTCTCTGGAAATTTAACACTGTAATTCTGTGCTTATTTGCAACTGTAGCTGCACTTTTTATTATTCTCCTCCTATAATGCATTGTGTTCAAGAATCCATTAATAAGGCTGGCATTATAGAGCTGTAATAAAAAGCTTTCATTTTGTATGGCATATCTAAGCACATGGGATTCCTGCGTGCATCATTTTCCCATTTCTTTCTCCCATTTAAGAGTTTCACCCTCTTTCTCCTTCCATCTGACATTTTCTGCCTCTTTTTCTTCCTTCATCTACCTCCCTCCTTCTTCCTCACTCTTTCCTTCCTCCCATCATTTATGGAGTGTGGAGGAGAATAAAAACAAGTTTAATGTACAGTAATACATCATGCTTTGACTGCTGTAGCAGGCTGCATCCATATTGTGAAGCTGTTATAGTCACTTAGCAGCTGCGAGGCTAATTATTGCAAATGACGGCTGTTGAAAAGAGTATTAATGTCTCCTTTCTACATGGCTACATCCCCTAGTTTGGGCTGATTAAAGTAGGCACATGCTAAACTTTAAAGAGAAGGAGTGCAGTAAAGAAAAGGGGGAGAGGGTGTCTTGTTAAACCCAGTAAATCCATCTTGAACTTTAAGTGAAGGTGTCATTGAGCAAAGGCGCTCTAATCTCCATCCTGCAGTCCACAAAAGTTTAGATCTAAGGCACTTTGATGTGCTTTTATGATTTAATGAAGTGGCTTTAGCAACAGCAACTGCAAACATTTACTTCCCAAATCTTTCTATGTATGTGATACAATTTTGTTTAATATGCATACAAGAAAAAAACTGTAGGCAAATCACACTTAATGAATTCATCTAGAATAAACACTGCCGCCTTAAGTAATATTACATCAATCAAAAGTTATTTCCTTCCTCACTGTTGTTATGAAAACACATTTACTCACCATAATTTGACACTTTGTCGTGAGCATGCATCACACCGTGATAGGTTACACCAGCTTGCCAACATTTGAGGGTTTTATAGCACAAGTCAGCAGGCACAGTACTGTTCATCCAATAAAGTAAAGGGATTAAATATGTTGGGGTCATTAAAATGTCACAGGAAAAAAAGGAAGATTAAAAAGACAGAATGTCGCAAGGCACGCAGAGAAACACAGATAAGAAAGGGATTTAGAGTAAGTGTCGAAACATTTGGAAAGAGGCTCCCTCTGTATCTCCTAGATAAGAAAAATAGAGACAATTGAATGAAACCACTTACTTCTGCTGCAGGATTTTATTAGTTTTCCTCTCAACTCTCAGTGGACACCTGCTCACAGCCGCCTCCAGGTAATGTACTGCGGCAGAGGTGCGTGTAAGTAATGTGAATGCCCAAACTCATGTGGAAGAAATGTAAAATTGAAAGTGTGTGGACAAAGTGTATGGAAGTGTATGGCTCAAAATACTGACTATGCATTTTCAGTCCATCTAAAGGGAAACCCTCTGCAGAGGAGCTGAGGGAGCCAGGAACTTGTGAGTTGTGTATGTCCACTCAGGCAGCATTCATGCCTGCTCTGTAGGCAGTTCCTGTCAGAAGGAGGGGGCACAGCGAGGGGGCGGAAGATTGTGCCTCAGTGCCTCTCTCCTTCTGAGATTGTAAAAAAAATTTAATAAAAAGTGTTTGGTTTGTGCAGGTGGTCTGGTCTGTCTCTAAACAGTCCAGGCTGCACCCCGGACTGAAGTTAAGTCCTGAAGTTAAGAGCCTGCTAGAGATAAAACCATAGACGAAGAACTGGCTGCTTCGGCATTTTTCTTTTTACCTAATTGGCCTCAACTTCAGGTCCTAAAATCATATTTGCATACACCTCAGTTGTCAGTGAACATTTTAAGCCCACTCGGTCGCGACAGATGGCTGCCCCTTCCTGAGCTTGGTTCTGTTGGAGGTTTCCTCCTTATTAAGAGGGAGTTTTTCCTCCCCACTGTTGCCAAGTGCTTGCTCATAGGGGATTTTGGGGCTTTTTTAAAACCAACCGCTGATGGGTTCACTGGCATCAAATTCAGGACTCGGCAAATGGGCAAGTGGATATTTCATCATCAAGTGAGGAATCGTCCATTTAAATCATATTTGCGAGTCATATTTAGTTGTATATAAATTTGATTTGTGGGGCACTAAGGCCAATCACAGACTAATTTGGACAATTAGGAAAAAATACATTTAAAAAATTGGGGGGGAAAATGGATGTGCCAATGTCTCATATAGGTTTCAAATAATATACCATTTGATTTCAGCATATTTTTCTTACATTTGCAGTGCTCTTAGTGTTATATTCTTATGATTCTGTTCATTTTATGAGTACATTCTTCTGCCTTGCTTCACATCAGAGAATCGGAAATGCATTAGCCTGTCTATATACAAAAGGAAAACTACAAAAATAAAAATATAGGTAATTTTCAGATTAGTAATGCTATCAATAGATTCACTGTGCTCATAGTAAAAAGACTTTATTTCATATTATGTTCAAGTCAGTTGTTATCCAATTTTAAAACTATAAAATATAATAATGTCTATTTTTAGTTTACTTTGTTAATAAAGATTTTTGGGGGGATTTTCAGAAACACTAACGTTATACATAGCAAAATATGAAGCAATCCTCTAACTCCCATTTACATACAGACCTGTGGCCAACCTTACAAACCATTTTGCATTTTTTCTAGCTGAGGCTTTCAAAATAGATAACTGGTGATTGTCACAGTGTAATGTGGGCAGCTGCCTGCCTAATGTAACTTAACATCTTCACAATATTTTACACAAAATGAGCAAATGTATCTTTGTTTCTTCAGCTAAAACAGCTCGGCTGCTGTAGTTGGTATTTATGTTGAGAGTGACATCTGATTTAAAAACAGGGAGCAAAAGACACTCAGTAGCATATCCGTCATCATAGAAACAATGCCATAAATGTAAGGAACAAAGGTCAAAGTCTTCATGTGTATACATACACAGACCACATGTGCATACTGTTGTCCAAATAAACTCACAGATATATATGAAAACTCAAGTTTGTGGCGTTAAATTTGTATTCTAATTTTAAAAATGTAATACACACCTATAACTTTTTCCCCTGTGCAACAGAGACCCCTGCTGGTGGGCAAACGACTGGCAACAATTAATGACATAGTTCCGTTTCCGGTGTAAACAAACAAGCCAATATGGCGGCTTTCGTAGTCAAACAAGACTCGGCAGACTGTTGCTAGTAGAGAGCGTCGCTTGTTGAGATTTGACACATTTTATAACATGGATGAACCGGGAAGTGGTGGGAATGTGGTTCGTTACTATTGCACGGCCGGTAACGGTATGGAGGCTTTTTTAATCAACGAGGTGAAGACGAAGCTAGCGGCTGAAGACGTGAGTGTTAGCTACATGCAACAACTAACAGCTACCCCCCCCCCCCAACCCCCCAAAAAACAAAACAAAAACCTCGGGGTCTTCATGATTTAAAAGCCTTTAAGAGACAAATATACGGACTCTCTTTGTGTGGAAAGAAAAGGGGAAAAAGTCATAATTAACTTCTAATGTTGATATTACGAAATCTTTTTTTTATTTATGTTATAGGAAATATTCAAATTTACAGCAAAGTTTTATTTAAACGTTTTAGTCAGGCTTTACGTAATTTTGTGATTGTCACTGTCACGCGATGTAATCCGCACAGGGTTAAAACATGCGTACAGCCTCAAATATGTACATACACTCCTTCAATAAGTGTTGGCAACAGACACATGGCTGAAGGTTGGCTGTTCCATCCAGACAGTGATCCCAAACACACATCAAAGCTGGTTTTGGAATGGATAAAAAATGATAGAATTAAGCCTCTAGAATGGCCATCCCAAAGTCCTAACCTCAACCCTGATGGAAATTTGTGGGGTCTTTTTAAAAGTCAGGTCTATGCCAGGAAACCAACCAGTTTAAATAACCTCTACTAATTCTGACAAGAAGACTGGGCAGATATCTAATTAGAATTATGCCAGAAGCTTGTTGGCTAGCAAAAGTGCTAAGGGACATTTAATCAAATGCTAGAAGGGCTAATATATATTTATTTGAGCCTGTACGTACGTTTTTGAATCTGGTTGGGTTAGAGAAAATACAAAATAAATTTAATCCTGTGCACCAATTTATTTATTTTTTAAAGTCGTTAAAGATGTATGCTGTACAATCATTCCACTATGGAAAAAGAACTGTTCAAAGAAATCATCAACAGTCCCAAATTGCTGCCCATGATGAGTGTATGCAAACTTCTGATCACAACTGTTAACATGATCTGAGTCAGCTGTTGTCTCAATGTGTAGAGAAACTGTTGGCCATCGACATGAGTGGTTATCAGTGTTCGATCACTACGACCAAGCCAAAGTGGCCTTTCTCTGAAGGTTAATCTACTATAAGACGGGGTTAAAAATTAACTTTTTGATGAAAGATGTAGAAGAGCTCTTAAATGTGAATGTGGACTTCTGCATTTAGGTGTGTCAAATTCCAGGTAAAGTGTTATTCAGCTCTTCTGCAAAGATCAACAGAGTTAGTAACCTGAAGGGTGCAGAGAGACTCTTTCTTCTGTTGAAACAAGACTCGCCGGTGAGTCTGTCTGCCCACACCAGCACAGGTAGTAGCCTCAAACTAACTCCAAGAACCTATACATACAATTAATACAAAAACATAAGCGATACCATTCAGTGTTTACATACCACTTCTGAACTGACTTCTGTATCGCGTTTTTTGTAATATTTATAGCAAAGGCAGCCTCTGTGCTACAGTCCAGACTGTTGGATGACAAGAATCAGTGGACCAGTGCTGTAATGACATGGAGTCGACTGCAGGGGGAGCTGACAGGCAGCAAAAACACCATCAAAACATCAAGCCCTGCCCTGGGAGTGACAAGGAAGAGGGAGGATGCGATGAGAGGGAGTGACGAACAGAGCAGAGAGGGGGAGAAGAGCCTTGTAGAGTTTAGAAGTACAGGAGGGGAGAGGAAGGAGGAGATTGACAAACAGAGAAGTGGTGGACAAAATGGAGTATCCACAATGGCACAGAAGAGAAAGAGAGATGAGGAGGAGAAGGAGAGGAAAGTGGCAGCTTGGGACACAGGCATTGAGAAGACTGTAGAAAAGGGGAAGGCATGTGAGGAAGAAAGGACGAGAGAGGAAGAAGCAGAGGGGATGTTAGAGGAGTTTATCGACTGTACACATGGAGCATACGTCAATGGGGGAGGACCGGTTTGTGACCACACAGCATCCAGGCTGGAGCACCGTGGAGCAAGTAGCAGCAGGAAGATGGATGACATAGTAAAGGATTTCACTGAAGAAAGTCAGGAAAATGGTAATGCAATGGCAACATTTTATTTTTATGACGGCTTATACATCAGTGACTTCTGAGGTTAAAGTCTTTATATATTTATGTCTCCTCGTGTTTATCTCCATATGAAGTGAAGACCACTGGAGAAAAAAATCAGACACTGCTGACAACCTGTGAGGATAAACCAGAGCTGCTTTCCTGTATCCCGGTCTCCTTCAGGATCAGCTGCAAATGTTCTGGATCTCTGTCACGATGCTTGGGCGCACAGGTAGGAAATGTCAAAGTCTGTGTCTCTGCTTCTTTTTACAAGTGTTTAACAGAAATGAAGTGCAGGGGCAGCATGGTAGCTCAGTGGTTAGCATTAACTGCACCTGGGTTTAAAGTAGGTATGAGTCTTCAGTGTAAAGTCTCAAAGTTCTCACAGTGCTTTGAGCAGGTTTCTCCAAGAGCTCTAGTTTCTCCCACCACTGAAAAACATGACATGTTAATGCTACCACAACACTCACCACAACTTATGTAAGAATAAGTTATCTTAACACAAATGTTCAGAGATACGAGTTGTCATTTCTCCTAATAGTTTATCGGTTTTTACTTACCCAGACAAAGGGTGTTGCGGCAATAATTGTTTAAAAGGATATATACTTTTAATCTCTCTATATTACTAAGTGCAATCCCTAGGATCCACATAGAAACAGACATTCATATTCAGTGGATATGTTCAAAAAAATGTTCTACTTTTGTGTGAAACAGGAGGTGAGCAGAGTGATTGGAGCAGGTCTGAGCAGACTGCTGGGCTGGAAGGCTGACCTGAAGAATCCACAGTTGGAGGTAATCAGTTGTGTTTGAAAAACAATCTGTTGGATTGCACTGATTATAAGTTCAGTTAAGTTTTGTCTTACAATAGAAATGTTTGCAATATAAATAGTCCGTCTGTAGTTAATTGCTTTGCAGAGAGTCTTGCCTGTCTTTTCTGGCACTTCAGCTGTAATATTATCTATTATTGTTTTTCTGTAGATAAATGTCCATTTGAGTGATGACTACTGCCTGCTCGGGATCCCACTGACCAGGTTATTGACAGTGATGTTTTACATTTAACACAGTAATATACATCGAAGTCTCAGTACAGCAACAGACCTCTTATACATTATGCAGTTCTTTTATTGTCACTGCTTATAATATGCTCTGTCTGTTACAAGTTTAGCTTACTGCTTTTTGCCATTAAGACCCACAAATGTTTAATCAAATGACTTAAGATGGACCGGTCTCTTTAAAATTATATCTGTAATTAATTTGATAAGAAGTAATAAGTTGAGTCTTCTTTCCTTCAGGTTGCCTCTTGCTAACCGGAGCTATATAAAAATCACAGGACTAAGGTCTACAACAGCCTGGGCCATGGCCTCACTGGCTCATATACAGGTGTATATACTACTGTACACACAGCTGTTCTGTGCCTGTTGCAGGTTATGGTTTGAATACTCATCATCATCATCATTTATTTATATAGCACTTTAAAACACACCTGGTAGACCAAAGTGCTGTACAATACTAATAATATGCACATAGTAATAAAACCAGACATGGCAATAAAATGTAAAAAAAAAAAAATATATATATATATATATATATATATCAGTTACCCACAGAGTTAGCAGCAACTGCTCAGCTGACCGAAGGGAACGAGTGGGGACGTGGGGCTTCAACAAGTCAGACAAATAAACAGGTGCCAGACCATTTAGAGATTTAAAAACCAATAAAAGGACTTTAAAAGGGTCCTAAATTCAATTGGAAGCCAGTGTAGAGAGGTCAAAATCGGAGTGATGTGATCAAATTTCCTTCTGCCAGTTAAAAATTGTGCTGATGAATTCTGGAACCATAACGGAGTTATATTATTATGTGCACAAATAAGAAGGCATCATCACATCATGCAAGCAGAGCTCTTCCATTTATGTTTGTGTAGCTAAATAATTAGCCTCTAGTTTTGTTTGTGGTTTTTACTGTAAATGGGTGGCGTTCAGGGAAGGGTTTTTGGCCCAGGTAGAGGAGTTTACATAGGGGTGCAGGAGATTGACAGATGGAGTAGAGCTACATCTGCTGTAATGTAGGTTCTGTATCTGTCTATTGTGTATTGTAAACACCGAGCGTAAAAATGAAGCTTTTAGTTTACCCTGTTGATCTACACCTCACCTATGGCCATGAGCTCTGGGTAGCCACTGAACGAATGAGAATGCAGATACAAGTGGTGGAAATGAGTGTGGCTGAGCTCTCCCTTAGAGATAGGGTGAGGACTTCCACGATTTGGGAGGTACAGCTGCTTGGAATTTGACTAGGATGCCTCCTGGGCAAGGTATTCCAGGCATGTTCTACCAGGAGGAGGCCCCGGGGTAGACCTAGAACATACTGGAGAGATTACATCTCTTAGCTGGCCTGGGAATGCCTCAGCATTCCCCCAAATGAGCTGGAGGAGGTGGCTGGGGAGAAAGAGGTCAAGACTTCTCTGCTTAAGCTGCTGCCCCCGTGACCCAGCTCCAGAGAAGCAGTAGAAAACGGATGGATAGTTTAGTTTGTTTTGCCCATTTGGAGCTGGGAAGATTTTTGATATTTACTTAATTACATGTGCTAAAGTAGGGCTGCTCGATTATGGCAAAAATGATAATCACGATTATTTTCACTGAAATTGAGATCACGATTATTTAACGATATTTATTTAACCCTTTAAGACCTACTATAGAACCAAGTCCACCAGAGCTTATATTATTTTTTTTACATGCTGTAGTGCCATTTGTGGGAGCATTTCAAGTTGCTATACATCAATACAACTGTTATAGCCCATATTTTAATAATATGTATGCACTAAGTGCATAGTAATTACATAAATTGCAAAAAAGTGCAATAAACTACAAAAAAAATTGAAAATCGCTTTTGTTTTGTTTACATATATTTCTACTTGGAGAAATTTAAGAGGTTTATCCCTCAAAACTTTAAATACAATAAAGTTGCAAAAAATAGTTTACAACAACAGGAAATTTATTTTGAGTGTCTTCATAGTTTTATTTTGTAGATACAGCAATTTTTATATACTGCAGGAAAAACAAAAAACAATCCTATGATGCAAATTTGCAAAGAAAACAGCATGTGCATCATTTCACTGTGGGAAGTGTTACGAACAGCTGATAGGAACGGCAAAGCGTGTTTCTGGAATATTATGTTTTTGTTGCTGCAAGCGCTTTTTATGCAATTTTTGCAAAGCTATATGTGGAACGAAACCGTGACCGAGGACAAGCTGATGGCATCAGATGTAAGTACAACTCCTCCGGTTTCATATGCAAAACAAATTATTGCGCTAGCTTACACAGTTCAGGTTCTACAGGGATTTAACAATAGTTACGCAAAACGGAGCTTACTGCTCTGACCGGCTTTAAAGGGTTAACAATGACTTTAAAAAAATAATATAAAATAGTGTGCAACACCACTGAAGTTTTTTTTTTTAAACTCTCTTTTCAACCAACGGCAGTCACTCTCCAAATAACTTCTGCTTAGCTTTCCGAGCTTCCCTCGGGTCCTCTTAATCAGCGGTCTCCAACCTTTTTTGCGCCACGGACTGGTTTATGCCCGACAATATTTTCACGGACCGGCCTTTAAGGTGTCGCGGATAAATGAGGGAGGGGCTAATAATCGGCTCAGTCATTTTTAATGATCGTTGAAAGCCCAGATCGTAATCGTGATTAAAATTCGATTAATTGAGCAGCCCTATGCTAAAGTAACAACTTTTACTGTAGCATGTGTTTTTACAAAGTGAAAGTACTTTGGCTAGTCTACCCCCCCCCATCTGATCCACTTAAAGAGCCCTTAGTATGATGTTAGTTGTCTGTCACTTGGCATTCAGTGTGGTGAACCAGTCACAGTCATACTTTTTGTGGTTAACCAGCTGTATGCGCTGTATGCTGTGTTCTGTTTTCTAGCCAGGCTTCCGTGTGGTTGACCCAATGTGTGGGGTGGGGACCATCTTAATAGAAGCTGCACAGGAGCATAAGGTCAGAAAAGAAATCATGTACTGTTGATCTTTAAAGTGTAGAAATGTTTAGAAAAGTTTGTTTATGAGGTTTAAAAATCCTTGTTTCTGGGATTTTCAGGATGCCTGTTTCCTGGGTGTGGATATTGATGAAGCACAGCTGCAGAAGGCCAGTGAGAACATAGCATTTGCTGAGTTGGAAAACAGAATAAACCTGCTGAAAGCGTCGTCTCTGGGTAGGTCAGCTGCACACAAAAAGAGCAGTAAAGTAAGCTAAATATTACATTATTAATACATGTCTTACTTAATTGTATTAAACTAATGTTCTCATTTAAAAAGAGGGACAGACGTTAACTTTTTAAATCGCACTAGTTGTAAATCCAGTGCAATACAAGTGGATTTTAAGGCGCACGACAGATGGCCCTGTGTGCATGAATGAATCTAGTCATGTGTAAAATTAGCCAGACATGTGAAAATATAGATAAACATGAAAAAATTATTATGTGCACATTTCTTTGAATGTCACATATGACATGTTCAGTCTTATCAAACCTGACTGGCGTTACTTATGAGGTTAGTCTTTATGGTATCTTAGAGTACATTTCTTTTTTTAATAGAGGAATTATATCTTGATAAGACCGACCACCATAAAGTAGCTCACATTTTCACATTTTTAAAAAGGATTAAATTATAAATTGAATTACTATAAATTAAATTTTAACTATATTACAAATTCATGTCTTTGAGAAGTTAAATATTGAATCTTAGCTCATGAATTTTCACTGTGGATGCATGGCTGCATTTTTTTGGATAGGACTCAGTGAGTGGGAGGTTAGTGTGAAGCCTGTTGTCGTATATTAAATTACGTCTAGGCTTGTTTGTCCTCCTCTGTGTGTGCAGTACTGCCTGTGCCCAGTGCCACTGTAGACGCTGTGATCTGTGACCTGCCATTTGGCAGGAAGTTTGGCTCCAGAATAGACATGGCTGCCAACTTGCCACTCGTCCTGACAGAGATGGAGAGGTTTGTTCCTATGTTTGTCGGTCTCAATTGTTTCTTTTAGAATTGTTTGGCGAAACAGAAAACATTACTTGTTTTCTCTGTGAATGTGTGTGCACTGTGGATTTTTAGCTTGGGAGTCACTTTGCACATCAGTACACATCCTAAGCTGTCTTATTGTTCTGTTTTTTAGTTAGTTTTTTTTTTTTTTTTAATAGGAAAAACTAAATTAATGTATAGATAAAAATGTCATAGCCATTATTGGAATAAGCATTGAAAGATAGAGATGCAACTATTATAACAAATGTTTGTGTCTAGAGTTCTCCGTCCTGGTGGTATCCTGGTGCTCCTCCTGAGTCCTCAGTTGTCCTGTCTACTCAAAAAACTTCTAATACAATATGATACTGGACCAACATCTAACCCTGAAACAAAGCCTCAGACTGGGATGCAAAACTGCCCATCTTCTTCCAGATCTCCTTCTAAGAAGCAGACTTTCCAAATCCACTCTGGGGTCAAATCCTCACCAAGCCAAGAAACCAAGCTTCAACACAGTCTGCCTTTCACTGTGTCCTCATTGAAGCATCAAGCAACTTTCAGAGTCAGCTTAGGAGCAATAGATGGACTTATTCATAAATATGTCAAAACAGACTGTTGTGTTTTCAGGGATGTTATGTTTTAAGGCACTTGGTTTGATTTTCTTTGTTGCTAACATGTAAAAAAAAAAAAAGTGGCCATGTTGAAATACCACTGTGTTTTAACCGCTCTGTAACATGTTTTGGTTTGCTTACAACTTTTTAATTGTAAATGAGATTTCCAGGTATTTAAAATATGTTTTGGAAGCAGCTGAGAAATTATTTTTGAAAGCTTACGAGTAAAGAAATTTTGATTTTCCAATCCTCCAGCAGTGCTTGACCTCTAATTTCTAAAATCCTGCCCGTGGCACTCATTCCCAAGCTCACTTATTCATTGATTATGGTTATCTTTAAAAAGCAACTCACAAATGTTGCTCAGTATCTCAACGTGTTCATAAAATTGCCAGACACTGCCTTTTTTTGCATTACTTTTTAATCAAACTGTGATAAATTGTGAATTTCTTCTCAACACTTTTCAGGTTAATAACACTGGCATAGTCCCCTGCTTTTTGTTTTGCTAATGGGGGACCATTCCATGGTGACTGTATGGGGTTTTTTTTAAATAAGAGTTTTATGGCAGAAAATAGTTTACTTTTTGAAACAATTGTGTGTTTAACTGTTTCATTATTTGCTAACACTACTGGAAAATATGAAATATCTCTAAAACGGTAACAGGAAAAGATGGGATTGTTTTTTTCCTGCATCACAGACCCCCTCACTGAATCATAAAGTTGCCATCTGCCACTGTTTAGCCCTGCTTAGCCCAGTTTTACATTAAGGGAGCCAAATAATGCAGCCATAGAGCTTAGTGTTTTTCATTCATTTCCTTTCCCCTACAGCTTCCTGTGTAAATCCCAAAATCTGACTTTATTTTCATTATATAGTGAAATCAGTGTAGGTTTGGATTATAATTTGTATTTTTTCTGCTGTTTCTTAATATGTATCCATACAAGCAACTAGTGAAGTACTAAGCAAATAGTAATAATTTAATTGCATTTTAATTACCATATTCAACTACGAAATCCGTTTCCAAACGCATTAAAATTTAACAACACACGTCTCCCCCATCAGACACCATGGAGAGGGTACGCCATGATGTCCATTGCGCATGCCCAATGCGCAGTGGAAGCCATGTTGGAGCTACATTGGATTCAGGCTGGGATTTTCTGACGCCGTATGTTTTTCTTTAAATATCTGTTTTCGTATATTGTTGGGGTTCGTAAACCGTGCGCGATCGGCGCCGTAATCGGCAGTGGAAATGATGAACTCCAGTGTCGACCTGTCCCGGCGGAATCCACAGGAGGATTTCGAGCTGATCCAGAGGATAGGAAGCGGCACATACGGAGATGTGTACAAGGTAAAACTGCAGTGCGCAATCACATAGTTCCATTTTCGGACACAGAGTAGTTAAACACCACCAGCGTATTTACAGTCTTGTGGTCCTACAGTGGTGTTATAACAGTAACGAATCGTTTCTATAACCATAAGTGGGCTGTTTCTAATATGCTGTTACCAGAAGGTTTTTGTTTTGATGCTTGTTGGTACAGTAATTACTGTGCTACTCATGTTATAATTCCATTGTCGGACACACAGCAACTGTTTGACTTCGCTTGTGTTTATGGTTGTTATTGTCTTGGCCTTTTTATCCATGCTTGTTTAGAGATCTGGGTTACCATTATGTTAATGTTTTCTGGCTGCTAACATGCCTGGGTTAAGACTTAGTTAACGTTTAATGTAAACCCAACGTTAATTCTTGGTTTGTTGAGCACCGATCATATTTACCTCCGTGTAAGTGAGTTGTTGCACAAATTGTGCTACGTCGACGTGCTTGTTTGTACTCGCTGGACTGTGGCTGTGGTCTAAATTGCGTTGTGAATAACAGCAGTTAATGTTAAAGAAGAAGTAGGAGTGGTTGATGCTTGTCCGGTAATAGACCTGCAGTAGCTTAGCTGTCCGACAACGGACTACTAACTTGATAGCATCAAGAAGCTAGCTGGGACGTCTTGATGCTACATGAGAAAACTGTCGCAAGTAGTGAACATGCAGTGATTTGTTACCCTTACACGAACACACACTAAAAAAGAGACTACCTGATAGTTTACTGGCTGTTTGTAGTATCGTAGAGGCTTCGCAAAACATGTTAAACCTGTCCGCGTATCCCGGACAGAGACTGACAGCTGCCTTTCCTTTGGCTAAAGCGCTCAGATCTGACTAAGCTACAACAACAACAACCGTGAAATAACCACTTCATATTGTCGTTTTTCACACTTTAACGTCAGTAGGCACTCGTCGGGTCATTTTTAAAGAACTGTGGTGCTCATTTTTATGTAGGCTGTGTAATACAGTTGGCCTCTTAGTCACTGGGCTCCACACTTTACCGAGGCCCAGTGCTGGGAACCCAAAGCCTGTAATCCAAACTGTAAGGAAGTTCCTGAATGCTGTGCAACTCCATCATAGTCTCAACGACTGTGTCATTGTTCGTTATATGTAACACAAAACAACAGCAGTAATAGCCACGTACCACAACAGAAACACAACAAGCTGGTCATGTATCATGGGAAATGATACAAAATATGACAAAGTATCCCCAAATAATGCTGCAGTACATGAAAACCAATGAGAATATGTAGGCCAGGATACTGTAACTCTAAAACTAAGAACCATGGACATAAAAAAGTAAACCTATCAGTCTCACCCGTTTGATCTGCCCTCTGTATCAAATCAGTAAGGTTACAAAAGTTAACCATCTATACCCTCAGTTATGTATTTGTTTGTGTAATAGTCACTCTGTTGTGGAATTTAACTGCTGTGTGAGGGAGGCTTTTTGTAGACTGGAGATTCATTAAACACGGTAATAGGACTTGATGATGTTTGGTTAACCTCCAGGGTCTTTGTGGTAATTACAGGAATCCTAAAGACTAGAGATGTTAAATATTTCCAGTCTTTTTGAACACGCAGTCTGTTAATTTCAATCCTAAATAGTCCATCATATGCGTATTATATCCTTATTTATTTTGTGTGCGTTTTCACAAGTGCCCCTCATACTCCGCTGCTCCTAATCTTGTTTGTTTCTAATTTAAGTTCAGTATCTTGCCTTGTTGTAGATAGGTAGGTTGGCATCTCAGACTTGATTCCCCTTCCAGGCCTGGAACAAGCGGCACATAGCTGATTAATGTGCACCAAAGTAACTTGAAAAACAGTTATAAAGGACAAAAATCACACAACTACACAACTTAAATATGGCAGAATTATGAGTTAAGTTGTAATTTCTCACTGGAAGCAGATTAATATGTTGATAAGGATGCTATACTGTAGGAACTATGATCATTATGTAGCTAAATGTCTATTTCATTGTTCCAGCAGGAATTTACTGAAAGACCTGAAACCTCTGGATGTGCTTCTAAGCACCAAGGCACATGGTAAACCTCACCGATGCCTATATTTGGTTCTACCACTGTGTGAAAAAGTGTGGCTTGGACAGGAATGTTTGAGCAGGAAATAAAGCATGAACTCTGCTAGCTTGTTTTCTCCTCTGTTTGTGGACCTGCCACTCTTTGTGTATCTGTTAGAAACTGTAGGAGGAGCATTGGCTGATGTTGAGACAGGCCTTCTGTGTAAAAGATCACAAATCTGAGCCTCACAAAAGAGAGTTTTCAGGGTGAATTTGTAGCTCAAATTTTACAAAGAGGGGAACCCGTATTTTGTGAAACCACCAACACTGCATGGTAGTTAGTAATATATGTAAAGCGAGCCATTTCAGGTCAAATAAGCACCAAGGGTTCAAGTGTTTCTCCCAAAACCCAGGTAAGGATGGAGGAAAATACCTTAAAATGGTGAACAGTCAGTAGAACTACAAGTCTCTGTGTCATATGATTAAAATGTTTACCTTCAAAGTAAGGTGACGTAAGGTAGACATAAGGGTTGTGGCACAACCCTGGGGCTGTGTAGTAAGTTGGGACAAGTGAGTATTTAATGGTGGTCAGTTTATCCGCATTTAACACCACATTATTTCCCCAGAAATAAATAACAGAAACTAGACACAGGATTGGTATTCCTGAACGCAAATCCTCCACGTATCGATACTGGAAAACAGCCTTCCTACTCCTCTTGTATTAGAGGTGACAGTTTTGTCTGATTCACAAATTAAGCTCCTTCTCACCTTCGTGGATTACACTGCCTTTTGAAAACAAAAGGTATATTCAGTGTCAACTTTCATGTTAAGAATTACCGGAACATGATAGCAGTAAACTGCACGCAGCACACTTATGTTTGCCAGTCTTGTTGGTGAGTCAAAGATAAGCCAACAAAAAAAAAAGACATTGACAAACCGAGCTTTCTCTCACTACCATTTTTATTGATTTGCCACTTAATTCTGGGCGAGCGGTGGAGCGACTACACTCTTCTTTTTAAGTTCCACTTTATCATTTATACTGCTTCAATAAATGCAAGTATCAGCTCAATATGTTGCTCTAAAGTCATAAAAAGAAATCTGTTCCAGACGTACTACTGCTGTACCTGCCCTCACTCTATTTGCGTCAACAGACAAAGCACAGACCGAGTATTCATATGAAGGCTTATGTTGTTTGAGAATTTGAGATTGTTGTGTTCTCACGAAACACTTCAAGAATCTGCAAAATATTAGATATCATGTAAGAGGTTAGCAATGGTATTATGGCTGTTTACCTTTTTTTAAACTGATTTTGAGTCCGTTTACTAGCATGGACATCTGCATATGCCAGAGTCGACATAGTTATTTGTGTCTGGTTATTGACACTGAGAAAAGCAGAACGTTTTTTAAATGTATTGTGGGGAGAATTTGCGTTTTAAAATGGCCTTAACTTGAAACTCTGCATTAGGATGTTGGAAAACTGGCGCTGGAGGAAGTCACGCAGTTGTCAGAAAGAAGACTGCGGTGTGGTTCGAGTCCTTTTTTGAGGTTTATGTTTTGCTTTGTCTGGTTTTTACTTCCCTTGATTTAACCAGGAAAGCTTGTGCTTCTTCATTCTGTGCATTAGAAAATGATACTTAAACAAAACATTCAAATGTGATATCAAGGGATCCTTTACAGCAGCGGCCCCCAACCTTTTTTGCGCCATGGACTGGTTTATGTCCCACAATATTTTCACGGCCTTTAAGGTGTCGCGGATAAATACATCAAAATAAAACCAGTACCGGTACCAAAAAAATAAGATGTATTCATAACACACGGGAAATGTCCCAGGGAAACCGAGTTAACGATAAAAACGATAAAAAAATAACAATAATTTAAAAACACCAAAAACCATAATTTTCACACCCGAGCCTCAATTCTCAATTCTCGTGGCCTGGTACCAAACGACCGGTCCATGGCCCGGGGGTTGGGGACCACTGCTTTACAGGCATCCATACACAATGTGTTGGGAGTGATAGGGCCCGTCTCACTACTGCCATCATCCAATGTGTGAAGATGGAGACACCAAAGGCGAGTGTGTATCTGCGACACACCAGTGGCTTTGACGAAAAAGCAGTATTTGGCTCCCAGGGAATGAGAACAGGCTGGTCATAAAAGTAATACAAGCCTTTCGTCCCGTCATCCACAGTTGAAGCTGTATTACGTGGCTTTCTTTGCACATTCACTTACTTTTTTGAAAGAATGGAAAGAATGATATCCATATTGGTTATAAATGTGACAGTAATAGTTCCCCTGCCCTGAACTTGTGTGTGTGGCACAGTTGAGTCTCCGTAGTATAGGAATGCAGGAATCTTCACTTCCTCCATGTGTGTGTGTTCATGTCCTATTGTTTCACAGCAGTCTAACAGAGGAAGACGGTGGAGCGGTGAGCCCCAGTGCAACACATACACACAGAATAAGATGAATGTATCATCACCTGCATAGTCACGCAAGCACAGATGGCTGTAGAGTCACAATTGAAGCTGCTGGTCCACAACCATCCTGTTTTTGTCCTTGTTCCTTCAGTTGTTTTCTCACTGTGGTGGAGTATAAAGACTTCAGGGTACATACTTTCAAGCAATGCACGGTTTGTGAAGTACGTTGAAAATTTTAGTTGCTATCCTGTTAATCTACTCTGCAGGATTTTGTCTCTGCGCCACTAGTGCTGCGAAGTACCGATAACTTGCATGTTTACAGGGTAATTAATAATGCAGTGCAGTGGCAAGGAACTGGTAATAACAACACTGTGACTGTGCTGTCATGCAGCGTGGTAGATACTGTAGTTTGGTTTCCTGTTACAGTAGGTATAAAACAGATGTGATACTTTCTGCTTCTGCATATATGCGAGGGTCTGAGTGATGTCAAATTTTAAGGGTGTAAATGTGGCTCTGTGAAGGCATCCACATACCAGTCAAATTGTCGTGGTA